GCGAAAGTTTCGCGAAAGAAGACGCGAAAGGATAACACTTTTTTCGCTATAGTTGGCCACATCCCAGAAAAGGAATTTTGAACAACCGCCAACTGTAAAGGTGCACCTGTCTGGGTGAGCAAGAGGAGATTTGTGTAAATGAAGCTATGCTATGACAAGCCAAGCTGGAACCAGAAGCACACCGTCAATGTTTTCAAGGAGGATGGGATCTGATGAATCTGTTAAACCAAGATCACAAGCCACAGCGTGGCAGATGAGTGGACCTGAGACCTGGGTTTCCCCTTCGGTGAGCTGCAAGTCATGCAGCCTCGTCCCGTGGCCGCATGATCCACATGTAACCCCTGACGCCACTAGCTGGATCGAAGCCTGCAGGTGTCACCCGCATGACTCAGTTGTGACCTGTGGATCAAGATGTTGAGAGTCGTCAGGCAGGTTAAGACTTTTCACACCACACGCCAGGGGGCCCATCATCCATTTCATGGCAAAATGTATGTGCTGACATCATTGGGGTTCACTCCATGGTCCTGCCACCTTCGCAGAACGTTGTCGGGAGGTTCTTGATGCTTAGCACAACACTGTTTGGGGATCTGTTAATTCGTGTGGGATTCGGCTACTTGCAGACGATAGACATACACAAACAATTCGCCCCCACATGCCCCAACTGTTTTTCAACAGTAGCTTCTACCCGTATGACCGTGGGTAGCAGATTGGACTGGTTCCAAACGCCTCGCCGCAGCTCATCACCATGCGCCGGGAAAGGAAGTAGGTGCATACTTTGAAGCCCTGGAATTGCACCGCTGCTGCGATGGGATCTTTTTCTGCAGGGGCATCTGATGTATCTTGGTGCCTTGCCACGGGAGAAGCGTGCACTTTGGACCTGATGAGGATGGGAATGCACAGCAGTTTTCAAAGATGGGAGATCATAATCTCCTACCATGGCTTTCTCTGAGGCGGATGGGTGCCTGTCAGGTCTGAGTTGGCGGAACATCAGCTGCTTGCTGCCGCCAGATCCGGCCATGAGCACCCCTTGGCCAATCGAATTCCAGCTCTTATCCAACCGTGCGTTTGAATGAAGCATCATATGGGTGAATGCTAGCTGTAAGCAGGACATTGCAGTCAAGGTTTGGCCTGCCAGCTGCGGGCGTGCTGGGAAAGACAAGCATGCAGCGTCGGCGTGCATTTGGATGGCTCCTGCTCCAAGTGACTTTGCGCCGCCCATTCCGTTTTGCCTCACGGTGGCTCCACCGTGAGGGTTTCCATGTGACATCCTAGAAGCATGGCAGTTGTGGGCAGTAGGTCACAGCCTTTGCCTTGGGAAGGGGCAGCGCCGCATAATCAGAAAGGCCCCAGACCGGGCGCGGCCATCGTGACACAGGAACAAGGATCTCCATGAGCAATGGATGGAGAGAGAAAGGGCAAATGGGTTTGTAGTGAAGCGCAGCCCCAGATTCTCGTCGCAGATGGTCACGAGATCTTTGCAAACTCTAAAGCGCAATGATGATACGATGTTTGTGTGCCGCTGGGTTGGGGATTTTATCAGCTCAGGGCTCAGATCCATGCTTGTATATGTCAAGCCGCAAAACTGGCAATGCGGCATGAGTTCTGCAAGTTGTTAGTTGGCGACCATGCTTCAGAGAGTTGGTTCTTGTTGAAATTTGCCTCGAAACACCAAAGAGCATGGTAAACGTCCCGGTCTTGAAGAGACATTGCTGCTTGGGTCAGAACCCCAGCTGCAAGAACTGCAGTGCTTGAAATGGCCGTTGGCCTTCTGTTCAATGGTCCTTGGCCAACATGACTGGTTACGTTCGCTGAAGACCAGCAGTTAAGAACATGTCATACAAAGACAGAGTTTTCACGTCGCGCAGCGATTCAGCCCATAGCCACACAGATTTTGCAGCTTGCTGTGCGACAGTTTGATTTCGCACTACCACTGGCATCTGTCCGGATGCCAAGCGAGAGCAGGAAGGGTTTTTTTTCTCCGAAGAGCCAGCCACACTTGGAGCCGGAACTAAGTTCATTTTTGCCTGCACCATCATCACGCTTGCAAGTTTTGGCGGGCTGTGTGTGTAGTGGCATGCAAAGGAAGCCGAAAAGTTCTTTAGCTACTGGTGCCAGGTGCTGCTACTGCGCCGCCCACTACAAGGTCTGGACATTGCTACTAGGGACTGACAAGGGTAATGTTTGCATATGTTTGCATTGTGGCAGGCGACCCACCTGCTGAGCCTGCCTAGAGCAGCGCAGCATGCTGTGATCCATTTGGCTCGCCGCTTCTTTGATCAGCTTGGTGCTCAGAGGAATGGTTTGACGCTTTTGCAGAACCTCCCATATCTCAAGCAATGTTCATGCTCGCATCAGAGAGGCTGTTTTTTACATTCCTCTTCCTGCCACTTCTTCGGAGAGAAGGCAGAGGAGGTGCTGCTGGTTCATTTGACAATTGCGCGGCTGTCCCAAATACAGTTTTCTGCCAGGGCATTTGCTGTGCTGATGGCGCGATGATCCAGAACTGCGGTTCTTCAATTCGGACATTTTAGTCAGAGGGCACAAAGCAAATATGGCAGTGACAACTCATTGACAACAGTAGTTCAACGTTTGGTTCTTTTTGGCCGCTGTGCTTTGTCCGTTCTTCGTCGCAGACGTGGACATGACCGGCCCGGCTTTGGGTTGCATTGATCTGGCCGCATCCTGCCTTAATCGCTGTCGCAAAGCAAAGCCTTCAGCCGCTTCAGCCTTGCTGACCCTGTGTCGGGGGGTGGCAAGGATAACTTTGAAGTTGTGTCGAATGTCGAATAGCCATGAGCGTGCATTTGCCCAGGGGTAGTTTGCATGTTAGTCTGAGGTCATGCTGTCGTTTCTTGAGGAACTTTCTGCACTGCTCCGGGCCTTGCACGACGCGTCAAATATTTAATAGTTTCCTGCATGGACAGAGCGAGCAGGCGCTGCAATATGTAAGATAGGCCTAATTCGCCCAGCTGCGCTGTACAAGTTGTGGTAGCATGTTCGAAACGCGCTTTGGTTGAAGAATTTGGATACACATAGAGAGAGAGTGGGAGCCCTTCCCCTATGGCGGGGGTATAGCAGTAAGAAGAAGAAGAAGAAGAGGGAGTCACTGCTCCAATGCTTTTGGGTGCACGGATGTTTGCATGAGCTTGCGCATTGCTCCACGGCACCTGCTCAAGGATGGATGAAAATTTACTTTCTGGCTCAACATGTGCCAAGTTTTTGTTACAGATTAATAGATCTATCTAGATCTCGATCATGCCACAACATGTACAATAACTCTTGCAATGAGACTCACAATACCTTGGTTCTAGCTGACGAGTTGCCAATCCAATCCCGATGGAAATCCTCTGCAGCCTCTGCACGCTGCCCAGAGCCCGGTTTGGCAACCTGCAATTTGTTCGCGCCACGGCTAGTGCCAATTATGATTCAAACTGATGCGCCAGCATGTCATTGAAGAACACGTCAGTATGCAGGCTGATAAGCCTGCAGCAGTGCAGTATCATAAGGTTATAGCCCGCATGGATGCTTCCTTGCTGAGGCGTAGCTTCGAAAGCGGGCGCAAACAAGGCTCTGGCGGAAGACTTCAACAACCCACTGCTGAACTCAGCGTTGCGAGGACTTGCTGTCTGCGTAGGATGTTGTCAGGCTCAAGAGTGGGCAGCGCAGCATGTTTACGCTTCTTGCGTAGTTGCTGTTGTTGACTCTCCTACATATTCCAAAACGTTAAAGAACTTTGCAATCTTGCCTTTGAGTGGCCGCTGCTATGGGACCGTGATTGCTGCACATCGTCCAACATAATGGAGGCGCGGCACTTACAAGAGTCAAGAACAGCTCCTCCAGTGTGCTGAGATTCTGCTTGCAGATAGAGATGTGTGTACCGCTTGCCAGACTTCAGGAACAAATTGGCCGTAATCATTACTGTAGCCTCCCGAAGTGTTTGAGAGAGAAAATGAGACGGCACAGTGTTTCTGGTGCCCTGTGGCAGGATGGCATAAAGCAGGTGAAGGCAAAGGAACTCGCGCAGAAATTGGGCCTTCAGTCATCCAGAGGAGCACTTGGTCGTTACATGGGTGTCCGCCTTGGTGGCAAAGGATGGACTGCCGCCGTTACAAAGCAAGGCCAGAAAATGGTGTTAGGTCATTTTAATCTGGAGATACAAGGAGCCATGGCGGTTCGTATTCAGCGGCTCAAAGATTCCGAAAAGGATGCGCAAGATATGGAGAAAGCTGCTAACGCAATGGTTTTAATAGCGGCGAAGATGGCTACTATAGCTTGTCGAGCCTGCGGAACGAAAGGAGGTAGTTGCAACTGCAATGAGAAGGCCTTCCTGGAGGCCAAGGCTGCTTGGGCGGCCTTCCGACATGTACGAGGTGAAGGCAAAACACGCGATCACCTGAAGCCGACAGCTGCCACAGAGTATGCACGTAAACTGCAGCCAGCCACTGTACGACATGGCCCCGGCCCTGGTCCTGGTGCGACAGAGATAGTCACCATAGATGATGATGAGGACCAGGCCCGCGACCAGCCGCAAAAGAGGCCTCCTCAAACACCAGCTCGCTCGCCAGCGACCCCAGGAAAGCGCCTAAAAGCCGCACCGGCGACGCCGGCTCCCGCAAAGAAGTACAGTGTCGAGGATGAAGTCCTTCACCGAGACTCAGTTGCAAAGGTTGCAAGTACACTCCTTGAGTCCAGTCCTCGACATCATCGAAGCTGAGGAAGGCAGGCGCTAGCACGGCGGAAGTTCGACAAGCCAATCCCAAGGCACAGCACGACAACAGTTGCAAGGTCCAAGATGAGTGCCGACTTGTTCAGGAACCTGGAAGGGCTGAAAAAGGAGCACGCCTTACACCGCCGTCGGATGAAGGACCGATGGAGCTTCTTTCATCCATTTGGCGTGTGATTGTAATAACATCTGCAGCCCTGAGAGGAACAACGACGTGCTGAGAGAAAATTGAAGCTTGAACGGCGCCTGTTGAAGTCCTTCGGCATCTTTTGTGTGTATGTTGCTTGAAGGTTGCCCAGCTAATTCCCTCTCCGAGGCGCGCGAGAAAAGCCCAGCAAGAGTGGGAAGCAAATGCTGGCAAGGAGGAAGATGCCGAGCAGAGTCATAGAGTTGAAGGCGGGCTGCAGCTGCGCTGGGGCTGGAGCATCCCTTTTCAAACGAATCATTTGGCCTCTACGTAGGGACACATGAGACAACAATCCTGGGCTGGCCACGCCCTGCATGGCTTGCAGTGTTGTGAATGCCTTCTTTGCATAACTCCTCGCGAGAGTATGAATTATACATGTGTTCAAAAGCAGCTCGCCGGTACAGCCGCATTTGAGGTAAAGAATTTGCAAAGCTTCGGGCCCTCTTTCTCGCCCAGCTGCAAACAAAGAGGACCTTCGGAGCTGGGACAAGTATAGGAGAGGCTTATTATTCACCTCCGTCTTTTATGACATGCGGCTCACATACCATTTTATGTCGGCATATTCTGACCAAGCGTGCTGAATTTGTCAGCTCCCCACTCCGGCTGGCAGCGGAGACAAAGATCATGTACAACTTATCCACAGGCACATAGGCCATAGGCATCTTGGCTAAACTGACAGCAACAAGTAGCAAGTCAAAGGCTTGATTCTCCAGGCAAAGGCTTCAAAGAAAGAGCATCCTCGTTTGCAGCAAGCCTGTTTGCTGGCAATCGAGTACTAAGCTTGCTTGGTTGGGCCTGCCTCTCCATCTTTCAACCTGGATCAAGCTGGTGTTTCCAGCTTGCCATACCAGCAGTCTCAGCCAGCACGAAGCACCAAGAAGTGACCGCATGCTGCACAGTTTGATGGCCAGGAAGCGGCGAAAACTCCTGGCTGAGTACAAAATCGATTGGGCGAGCTTCAGTGGCTTGGATCCGAGTGGGCAAGAGATCAGCTCCAAGATGCTCCAAGTGCATCGCAGCAAGACGATTCTTTCTTTTGCACTTCCAGCGCCAGTTGGCCTAGGACGGATGCTCATTTGGACGCCTCGTAATTACAGAGAACAGCTGCGGAAGATGCGGGCAGAAAAGAGGAAGGCTCGAAGAGCCAAAGGAGGCAAATTCTCGGACGAAACCGTCCAGCTGAAACCTAGAGGCTGGTTGCCGGAAAGTGCAGCGTCACCCCTTTTTTGAATAGTGAATAGTGGTTATGCACGCACCTGCATCGCAACCAGACTTTTCAATGCCCGACCTGACGCTGGACGAAGCTCCAGAGGCCTCTTCGTTCCACGACCGCACTATCGTCTTTTTTTTGGCATCTTTTGGGCCCACGGGCAGGACCTTCGATTCAAGCGGCCCAGGAAGTGGAGGCAAGGAGTGGATTTGCTTTTTGGCTGCAACTGGAACCGTGGCACCGAGGTCTTCTGGAGCGGCCATGAAGCAGCTCGTTCGACAGCGCCGAAAGGAGGCCCGTCCAGCAAAAGTAGCCAAAGCAACCTCCACGCCTCTGGCGAAAGGGTAAAGCCAATATCACGGATGAGACAACTGTTTCAGCATGCCATGAGATCAAGAGGTGTGGCCATGGGGACATGTTGTTGAAGCATGTTGAAGCCCACCCTTTTTTTTTTTATCATGCCACGACACCAAAACAGGCATGTCTGCATGCCCATAGCGACATGTCTTGCAGCAGCTGTCTCTAAGTCCCGTCTTCAATGTTTCAACAACATGTTTCAACTGTGTAGTTCTGATATTTAACCCTTTTGGTTCCGATACGTTTTTCTATAGGCGGTTCCCCTATTCGCCCCTTTTTGGTTCGCGATATTCCCGTCATCTCTGGCAAAGACGCGAAGCGAAAGATGCTCACGTACCCTGTGCTCACGTACCCCAGCAGTGTGAAAGAAGAGCAAGAGACCGACTCCCGACTCCAGGCTGCCGCTGCCACCGAGGCTGGGGAAACAGCCACTACCACCGCTGAGGACTCCCTTCAGAGCAAAGGCATCGTGGCTGAGGCGGCTATGGCCATCGAGGCCGGAAGTCTGCGTAGAGACATGCGTTTGGACCACGGACTGCGAAAAGTGATGCATTCCATCAGTTTGGCAGTCACCAGCTTGCCAGCTTGCCAGCCCACACGTTGAACTTTGGGGATCGGAAAGGGCAAGAGTTCCAAGAATTAGGGATGAAGTGACCAGGCAAGTCGCTCAGGCAAGTCGGGTTGGTCAAGCTTGATTCCTAACCAGTTTTCTGCAATTTCTGCCTGAACACGGGACGAGTTCAGATCAGCTGCTGCAGGTCATCGACGATGACGCCACTGACCAGGCCCTACCAGCTGACTCAGGACGGGTTCTGCGGGTCTGCAATACATTAAAATCAGCTGCCAAGCCAAATGCCAGGGCAGAAGAAGAATGACAAGAAGAATGCAAAGGCTGCTCAGAAAGAGTGGCAGATCTTGCAGCAGGTGGAGCCACAGGCACGAAAACTTGGACTGAGAAGTTTATTGCCCGCCCCTTCTGCTCATGCTCTTCAGATACAGTGGGCTTGCCCAAAAAGTAATACAAGCTCTGTAATTTTGCCAGCGTACACTACATTTCAAAACTCGCGCATCTGACGGCCTGGGCATATGATTTTTGGACAGCTGAACGCTGCGCAATGCTGCAAGTCTTTGCAACCTTGGGTTGTGGATTTTTTTTTGTCGTTCATTTGTATGTTCTTGTGGCTGCGGCCAAAAACGCACGACACTTGCAGTATGGGCCACCATCCTGATGTGAAACTCCTGGTGTTCATCAACTTGGTGGCCGGTCAACGTTGATTCTTTCATACGGTTTTGATGTTTTTGGCGGGGGGGTCAGCTGATTCTTCCACAGGATTCTCAGGTCTGGATGGGTCAGGAATATTGTTTCAATGACGACTATCAGAGGACATCTGCTCGGGTCACACGACGTACTAGCGCGTACTCCACGCATTAAGTTTGGTGGGCCATGCTTGGAAAATCAAACCTTCCGTACTCACCGTACTCCTTCCATATCCGTTCTTGGTATGTATTCACCATTACCATTCCATGGGCATGTTTCAATCATCCTTCTGCTGATTGCATCAAACCTCCCTACTCTTGCTGAAGTGTTCACCGCCCTG